GGCTTCCCTTTAAGCTGTGGAGTATAACCTCGAAATGCAAGCTTTGAATGTGTAGAAAAATGATTAGATTCTTTTCAAGTACCCATCTGTTGTCTCTTATTTGTTTGTGTTCACTCTGTCTGGTATACTTCATTATATCCGCGTCCCATTGTACTGTAATAAACAGAAGTTGTATAGGTTACTAGCTCTAAAGGATTAAGTGTGATGAAGATAATTATGTATCTATTGCAAAAAAGTTGTGCCTTTATTCTCATCCATTCTTCCTTTCACACCACTATTTTTTCTTCAATGCTGTCCATTTATGAAAACCCAGTTACCCGTTTGAAGGGTAAGACTTGGGTTTAGGGGCTGTGTTTGAGAAACAATTATATGCTTAAGCCAAAATGGTGTTATTGTTTGGTGTGTCTGATGAAATCGGAATGTGAGAAAGAATCATATTCAAGGAGCAAAATTGGCATCAAACCCAGAGCAGATTGATTATCTTTGAGAACCCGGATCAGGTCTAAGAAGGCAGAAACCTATAACTCATCACCCAACAAATGAACCCCTCGTTCTTTTTTCAACTTGACCCAATACGCTTACTAAATGCACTTTATAGAGGAAAAAAGAGTTTTGATATATTCTTTTTTTTTTTATCTATTAGTGTTTTGTTCGAAGTCAAAACAGTCGACATCCCAAGAGAATAAAAAAAAAAAACAAAAGACGATGGGATGGGTATGGTATGAACATTTTTCCGTTTCTACTTTGTAATCCTAAAGAGCTTCTCTACTTAAGAACAAGTGACGAAGGAGACAGAGAGAGGGTAAGGGAAAGTGTTGGCGTAGTGGAAAGAGATGGTGGAGCCATAAGGCAGAGGCTTGCCGTTGTTGACGAGACAGTCGTTGTAGTGTAAACGCTTGAACACTCTCGGGTTTATCAACTTGGCCGAGCTGAACCATCCGCAGCTAACGTGGATCCTTGATATATTGCAGCCGGACATACACTGGTTTGTTATTTCTACCGTGTAACCTGGTATTCCGTTGGGCATTGCTTCAGTCGCTGCTTGGTTCACCACTATGTCCGATCTCTTGCACTTCTCCCCAATCCTATCCGGCTCTGCTCTCGTGTCTACCTTTTTTTCTTTTTAAACATACACAAGAAGATATTAGATGTAGAAAACAAAAAGACCCAGCAAAAGACTCGGTTTTTAGTTGTTAGAAATTTGAAATGCCAAAAGAAGATTATTCTTTGTACTAAAAATTTTTGAACTCGAAAATGAAAATAGAGAAGATTATTATTCATTCATTGACAGCTGTTTTAACATTTGCTCTCTGTCCTCTCCAGTCAAACAGTCAACAATCATCCGGAAAAATTTATAGATTTTACTAATTCAAACAAATAAAGATGAAACAAATTTGAAGGTAAATGAATCAAAAACATAAATCCGATTTGAAAAAAAAAAACTCTCTTAAAGATTTGTAATCTCTAGACAAGTCCTGAAGCTCTTGGGTCCACAAAAGTATAAGGAAGAAAGAAACAAAAGAGGGGGCAAGAAAACACAGACGTGCAAAAGACTGACGACGGAACGCATCAGGGAAGAGATGCAGAAACAAATCCCCATTTCACGAGGACATTTCTTTTCTTTTCAAATCACAAATTGGGAAGCAACAAGAAAATCAACACAATCACCGATTTGGTATGAGAGAGTGAATCAGTCCAAAAAACCAAAATCCCCTTACCATGAGAGAGAAGAAGCATCTTCCGATGCGAAGAACTCCATGTTTCCGTCAAATCCAAATCATCATCATCTCCAAGCTCTAAGGCTGATAGATTTCCACCATTAATATACATACTCAGCAAAACAAAAAACAAAAACAAAATATGTTGAGTGAATCTGCTTTACGAACCGGAGGATACGACGGGGACGACGAGAGCCATGGCGTAAAGCAAGTATGAAAGTAGTACCGCCGATACCATAAGTCGCCGCCGGCTCATGTGCATAGTCGTCGGAAACCTAAAAGTTGATTGATGAAGCTGACTCTCTCTCGTTCTTTTGTCTCTGTACCGCTTGTGTGGATGTGACTGATACCGGAAAATCTGTATAGAACAGAGAGGAGAGAGAACGCATGAGTTTTCAACATCCATCGTATCATAAACAGTAAAATCGACATTTACGCGGCTGCTTTTTCGTATCTGTTGCAGAGATTTTGAAATTCCTTTGACCAAAAATAAGAAAATCTGTTGCGAGATGC